ACTTAGGTTAGGGATGTACGGTTGTTAGTAACAACCTTCCACTCGGAGACTATTGTCCAGCAACGTACACAGGTTTTCATTTCGGGGGAGGCCGGTAGTACAAAATGAAAAATTCGCGGTTCCCCCCTGCGTACGTCCCTGCTATTGTCCATTGTGATCATCCTTTATACCTGAAAGAGAACGGGAAGAGAAGAGAGAGTGGAAGAGAGAGGAGAAGATAGTAGGAGAAGGAGAGCCTAGAGATGGTTACTCTAGCCATATCAGATTTTTGACAAAGCCTAGGATCTGGTTGGGGTCTATTTTAGAGAAGAAGGCTAGATTATTAATTTCATATCTTTCAAACTGTTTATGTCTTCTGCCAATCAGCGATGAACATCTACAGAGGATATGTTCAATTGCCTGCAGTGACCTGTTATGATCCCCACAATGATTTTGATCTCTCTCAACAGCAAAGACGTTCTCGACCATCTGTTGCCGTCTACCTCGCCGTAGAACAAGCGGATTTTGCTAATGAAGGCTTTTCTCATTTGAAGGTAACCAACGAAGGCTCAACGACGTGGACATTTAAAAAAAAAGAGGTTCAAGGCTTGGTTAAAAAAAAAGCTCTAGAAAAACGCCAAGCCGTTTGATTTTTATAGAATTTTAGAAGATTCCAAGATAAAGCTTTAGACGAGGACTTTTAAAGACTAAGAATCGTGGATTTTTAGGTCTGTTTGAATCTCAGATTTTTTAAGAACCCTGGATTTTTACAGATTTTTATAAGCGGGCCCAAAGCTTTGATTTGTTTTACAAAAGAAGTAGGTTTTACAAGAATCATAGGATAATCAAAAATACCTGGCATTATTAAATAAGGCTTATGTTTTATAGATTGGAATATAATTCGATTACCGAACTCTTTTCTCATGTATGAGCTGAGACTGAGATAGCTGCACCAGCAAGAGTATGTCGATTAGGAACTAAATCTACGAACATGGATCAATTCGGAGACATTTGCGAAAGTTTTCCTTAGTTCCTCATCGAATTGTCACCTCATCGATTTCCAATAATGCGACTGCTTATTAAATACTCTACCTTCCCAAACAATAAGCAAGGCTGAAATTGTCTTTTCTAGTGTCATTTTCATGCAATACTTTTCTTAACATCAACCCAGAAATTAAATCAACTTTGAATCTATCTAAAATACAAAAAATATATATTTTTTAAGCCTAAATTATTCAACAACTAATTCGCAAATATAAAACAACAAACAACCTTGAAATATCAAAACATCGCTTGTGTGGCGAATGGAAATATACATGATTGGAATGCAAAAAAAAAAAAAAAAGATTACTCATTCCCTCCCCTCAAAACATCTCTTCTCTCCACATAAATTAAATTTTAATATTGCAAACAATTAAAGGTGTAGGCAAATCTATTTCAAGTACCCGAACTTCCAATGAGACAACACTATTTCTATTCTAACATCGTTAGAGAGTTAGATACGGTCGTCAGCAGTATGTTGGTAAGAAAAACGTAAACGTCGGTACGTAAAGAATGGCGCCACGTGATCACTGGCCGAATGAGTCAGTCAGTCAGTTGCGGTGCCATGCCATATAGGTAGAGGAGAAGAAACGAAATATACGTCGAAAACAAATTGAGAGTTCATACCGACAATTGTTTGACTACTGCGGCAAATTTGCTCACCAACCAGCGACAGACACCTGTTAATATCTTAGCCAAGCCATAGCCAAGAGCAGTGAATGGAACTGAAGAAACAATAAAAAAGAACGAGAATAACAACAACAATGCTTAATGGAAGATAAAGTGGTATGGTTGCAAGCGCTAGGAAGCAATTCTAAATCATTAGAAAAATTGCCAAAAGACATAGGTAAAACTTAATTTAATGATACAACGAAACAAATCGGAGGAAATTGAAACAGGCAAATTGATGTTTACACCAAGCTTGTTTGATTCTGCAGAATCATTCGTTCGTGGAAATTTTCTCTGTTTCTGTGTGTTAATAAAATATTTTTTTCATTCCAATATTGTATGATTTTGTAAGAAGCGTAATGTTAAAATTTTTGAATAATAGTTTTTTTCAATAAGAGTTCCGTCCTATTAAATTTTTATATTACGCCAATCGTTTCATATCAAACATTAATTTCTGAATATGTTGTTAAAATGTATACTGAATTCAAAAGAAAGTTCTGTTTAATTTTGGAAAATGATTCTTTATACAATTTTTTTTAAACTACCCTATTCCAGTTCAAACTAATGGAAGACTACTTGATATACGGTTGATGTAACAACAATCAGTAATGAACACCAAGGTGAATTAATTAATGGACGTCGTTCAACACAAGTTGAACTGAGACGTTGAGGAAAATGTGGAAGATGTTTTTAACAATTTCGCTCTTAGCATCTTTGACACATCCTCCTGTTGAGGATGTGCTCTTCGTAGAAAATTAACCCAGGGGTGTGGTCAAAATACACAATACTCTGTCAAGAATTCCATTTGAAAAATTTGTGAACGCAAATTGCTACTCTCCCACTATGAAGAATAGAAAATTCTGTTCGATAAAGATATATTTGCCAGGCTAATTCAAAAGCGGTAAGATTTTTTTATATTTCAAAGAAACAGAAACGATTAAAATACGCTCTTTCTCACGAATGCTCAGGGCGAGAATTCGATTGGTTATTTATCGCAAATGACAAAGTTACAATAAATGAACAAGCATTTGCAATCTCTCACGAATGTTCGCATTGTACGACAAATTCACGAACGATAAAACTTCGCGGCAAGCGTCGTTGATTCGATCTAATTCAATCGATCGATTCGCGAGCGCAGTTAAAAACAATAACAAACAAAATATCAACAATATCTGCCGGGCATGGGGTAATGGTCCACATGACACGCTAACCTTTTCAACTGTCCAGCCAAACCCATTCATCTAACCCCAATTTCACTGTGGACCCAACCAATACAGGTCGCAGTCTTTTTTGAATATGAAGTTAGAAGCAGAACCAGATTAAGGAGAAATATATAGCAGAACAATCTGCTACAACAACAACAAACAAAAATATCATAAAAAAGATTTTGTTGTTTTGTGCATTCGCGAATTCATGCAGCGATCATTCGGGAATTTTCGTTTCCATTGGAGAGCGAGTGCCAGAAAGAATTTCAATCACCAACGTAACGAACGATGGTTGTTGTGTGCTCTCACTCGTTTGCTATGTATGTGCGAACATTTGTTTGGCGAATGCTCGTTTGATAAAGAATGTTTCGCGATAAATTCATTCGCAAAATGAGGCCAAACGAAAAATGCGTATTTTGAATCAATCGCGAGCGAATTTTTGAAGAAAATTGTAGTAGTCGATTTTCACAATCCTCCCTAGATACCAATTTTTTATCATTAAAGAAATTTTGCAATGCAAGAAAAGGATGATAATCGCTTGGTGTCAAGTCCGGACTGTATGGCGGATGCATTAAAACTTCCCAAACAAGCTCCCGAAGTTTTTGGCGAGTCACTGTAGATGTGTGTGTCCTAGCGTTGTCCTGGTGGAACACGACACCTCTCCTGTTATCCAATTCTGGTCAATTGAACAACTAAAAACATCAAAATATTTTTTACTGTGAAATGTCACCCTTCCAGCAAAAATTTGAAATTGCTTGATCGATACTTTACGAGAAATCTATCAGTACAGCCATCTGTCGAAAAAATAATGGATTTCTTTTTTCCCCAACCTAATATCTTATATCAAAATATCGGTTACATTAATGTAATGATTCTAAACAGATATACCTTGATGGGTGGCAAACCAACTATAAATGGTCTGCCAATATAGCCAGCTTCCTATTCAAAGAATTCAAGCTGTGGATTCGTAGTATTTTCATTGATAGATATCACTTAAAGCAATCCAACATGGGTCATAATTTCGAAAAAAAAAATCCACCACTGCAGCACGGTTTGTTAATACGTAATGTAAAGTTTTGTAGTTATTAATATCTAATAGGCTAAAACGATTTCCCCAAAACAACCAACAATAGAACTACAACAGATTTGATAGGATTTACAAATGCATGACCCACAAAACCAGATCTATCTATATATCTATCAATAGACCAAATGTCTCCGAGTAAAGTGGAAGCTAACTTTACCCCGTATTCTTAACCAACAATTGTAATCAGTCGGTTGCTCTATCCTATATGAAAATATTTGTACCATGGTTTTGTAGCATATCCGCTATGTCAACGTTCAACGATCAACGTTTTTCTCATTTACATTATAGAAATTAGAAAATCGACACTCTTTACTTTATTTTCAAAATTGAAATTTACGAAGTATTATCAAAAACCCCGAGCTCCACTCAGCCTTCAGGGGGGCAGCTTTGTTGTTTTACTGCAGTTCCAAAATATATGTCAGAAATGTATTTATTTATTAAAAATAAATAAATTTTCCCACACGGATAAAAATGATTATCGTGGTTTCCTTTCTTACTTCGATACTTCTCGAAAACCTAGCAAATTCGGAAATTTTTGATTAAAAATTTCAAATTCCGTTTCCCGCCAAACAACATCCATAGGAGTTCATATTAACACTTTATTAACAATATCGACATATAAACAAAATTTTCTTTAGAAAAATTAGTATTCTTGTGATTAGCAGGAACTTTGCCGCGCATCTATAAACAGATTATAAAACCCGATTACCCAACGAAATTCTCTTTTTAAAATAAAGATACAAGAGGTGTTCATGGAACTCCTATCTTGGAATATGAATGTTGTTGTTAAAATTTGCAGGAAAGGATTGCAGGACACCGATCATAAACATTATTAAGTCTTTAATTTTCAAAACTTATTAAATGATTTTTTTTTAATACCGGTTGATTTTTTATAATACTGTACATAAAAGTACTCTGATTCGTATTTTCTAAACCAATATTCCACATTTTCCTTTGTAATATATTACAGATACAAATTTTAATATTCCACACATTGATATTGATATTCTAATACTTACTTCATGTGTTATATCCAATTCATGTTTGGCATTGTCGTACAATGTTTCCAGCTCTTCGAGACGTTGCTCCAATGCCGATTTCTCCTCTAACAGGGATAGGCCATATTGGGCCGATTGTGCCCGTTCACTGGTCGCTTGATCGAGTTCACGCGTTAAACGCTCAACTTCCATGCGAAGTTCATCGATGGTCTTGGACGATGTGCCGCCGCTGCCACCACCAGCACCTGAATCCAGAGACATGTTGTTAACGACTAAATATGATTACAGCAGATACGTTTTATTGTGTTGTGACAGCAATTCTTTGGTTGGCTATGTTCTCACGGCGTGTCCACACAGTTATACTCCTGGCAAAAGGACTTGTGCTGATAGTCTTCTCCCTTCAATGGCTTGTGTGCAAGCAAGGATATATTGAGTTTAATGTTGCTCAGTGTTTGTATTGCTTGCTGTTGTTGTAGTTGTATTGGTTGCGTGTGTGTGTGTGCGGTGTGTTGGTATTTAATGGACGGGCACGGATATAAATTAAACGGGGGCGAAAACACAGGATGTCTTTGGACGTTTTTGAGATATTTGTTTTGTTTGTTTTTTATAAATAAAATTTTCTTTTTGTTGTTGTAATTTTTTTCCAAGAAGTGGCAACTCTTTTCTTGTTGTGGGCGGAATCGTGATGTACTGTATGTAATTAATTTGTTGTCAGTATGTAGTGTTTATGTGACTGAGTGTGTTTTGTTGTATTTTGTTTTCTTCTTTTTTTCTTTTGGCTTATTATGCTGCTCGTATTGGCCGTAATTGTTGTTTAAAATCGTTGTTGTTGTTGCTATTTTTTAGTATATTATAACTGGAGGGTTTTGTTGTTTTGTGTCTTTTTTGCTGTTGCTTTATAAAATTTAATTATTAAGACTTGTCGTTTTGGGCAATTTTATTTTTTGTGTGGTTGTTGTTGCCGTTTGTTTTACTTTTGGACGTATTTTCATTAAATTCTGGTTCGGGATTTGCTTTTCTGTTTGTTTTTCGGGTAGAGGGAGAGAAACGTACGTCAAAGAGTTGCATGCAGTAAATCTCTCAACAGAAACACTCTCTTGTTCGCTCTCTCTCTCGCACTTTTTTTTGGTTTTGGTTGTTAACGTTATTCTTTGTTCTTTGGCAATTGGATTATTTTTTCACAACTTCTCTTTGGGAATTCCAACTGAAAATTTTCCAACTTGAAAAGATATAAAACAAAAAATCGTATTAGAAGCCAGGCTAAACAGACAGCATTTATTTAAGATGAATTATTTTGCCTGTTTCGTTTTTTCCTCTGTGGGTCTAAACGAGTCAAAGTTGTGACATCACGATTTCACTTCAAAACCATCAATTGCTTCTTTTCACACTACACTGATTTTTTCATTCCATATATCTTGGACACTTTCTTTTTGCACAAAAACAATTTATGGAATCTCACTTGTCAGCGACATTCCACCACCGAAAGAAAAGTATGGATGGCTGCTTTTTTCTTTATCGTGAACGTTTTCAAAACCTTTTATATGGCAAATAATACTGAATATTATTTGAAACACCAACTTTTGTTTATTTATTTTTGTTAATTTGTGTGTTTTTTGCAATCAGTATCGTTGAATTTTTTTATTTTTTCTTTGGGGCCAACGAAGAGCCAACATCCCAACTCAACTTCGTACGGCACACACAACACTAGGGATACGTAAGTTGACTTTCGTCTAATCGGCAAGATAACAATAAAATCGATTAATGTGGTTGGAGGAAAATACCGAAATAATCGTTTCTATTTTATCGGCAATAGTGGGAATTTATTAAACAGCGTTCACACATAACAAATTAGAAATAAACAGAAATTGTGTCCCAAAAAAAAATACAAAATACCTTGAAATAAAAAAATCTGGTCCTATGGTGTACTTCATTTGATAATTACAACCGACAGTTGGGAAAAGTGTTATCGAATTGTCGCAAATGTTTTCAGTTACACGAATGACAATTTGCAATATATTAAACCTTTATCGCCCGATTTTTTTTCCGTGGCTATAGAACTATTTTCCGTCCAAGGGCTTAATGCAGCTATCCAAACACAACATACACCTTGGCATAGGAGCTTGATGAAACTGTTCCTCCTCTTTGCCCGCCCATCCTTGACCCTTTCTTTCTAAAAATTTAAATGACTTTAAAATGGCCCCGTACTCCACTAACACATACTCACTCACAACATACTCTAAAACTTGCTCTCTGCACTATTAAAATTAACACAACATATTATCTTTCATATTTAAACATAAAAACAGTTGTCATCTTTGTGAATTTTGGATCATAATATTCTAGCTAACAATTTTACCACCGTTACCAGTTTCCAGCGACTAATACATATTTCGTTTTCTTTTACTTGCAGATGGTGTTAGGCAAGACAATGCAGCCTTAGTGCAGTCCCAAATGTTTAGGTACCACCATACGGCCGTCAATGGATACCGCACTGCAATCCAACATCAAACAATATGACGGGAATTTTGGCTGATATTTCGAGGGGTTGCACACTGGAGGGGTCAGTTTTTCGGATTATGATGTGCTATCTTTAAATAAAAATACATTTTCACCAACCACATCACAATTACACATATAACATATACTTACAATAGTTGGTACGCACGAAAACATAACAATTTCCAGTAACACAAATGGTCTCTTCATGTACTGCAAGAATCTACTAGATTTTATTATTTTAGATAGCAGTGCGGAAACAGACCAAAAATTAATAAAAACAAACACTTATTTAATGGTAATTTTTTTATCACAATAAAAATTATTAAATGTCCACTTTTTATTTATTTGGGATGCTTATTATTGGCAAACCGTGAAGAAGAACAGAAGTGGCTTATTAGCTCAATATACTTTAACTGGCCTCTTAAATGGCTCTCCGTTATGGCTATTATATCGTGAAAATGTCTGAAATTTCCACTCATTTTAATTTTTGGCGAACTTTTCCTGTTTTACAGTATTTTTCGGTTAATTGGTTTCCACGCTTAATTGAACCACATGATGGGGAAAAAAATATTTCATAGGAAAATACATGTAAATTTTCTCGGACAATTAAACCCTGTTAATGGATTTTCCCGCTTAATTGGTTCAAAATGTCATGTCATCAAAAATAAATTTCCTTATACTTTTCACCGGTTAATTGCACAATAATAATTGAAAAATAATCTGCCATTTTTTACATACATATTTGACATAATTTGTGAAAAAGACTAGGTGGCATCTTTACTAATTCAAAACATATGTTTATTGCTAAGGAAAAACTTCGAGAAAGCGTAATTTGTATTTGACATTGGATTTTTTTTTAAATCATTAGCAGTTCCAATTATTCGCGATTACTGTAATTGAACAAACTATTCAATTAAGCGGGTTCGGATAATTGGTTCCTCGGTTAATTGAACGAAAATTTGTGCAAATTTTAATGTGCAATTAACCTTCACATAACTTCAATCACACGGCGGCTGGTTCTATGTACCGGATTGACTCGGAGATGGACTCCGACCAGAGAGTGCCACCTCAACAATTACATGTACGTGTACGTCATAGCTCAACATTTTGCACGGTTAATGAGGATGCCCCCACGAGGATAAGAGGAGATTGTCACAGCTCGCCAGACATCACCATTGTGGCACCGGGTCTGATAAATGACGTAACCTGGCAACCCGTCATTTCACTCGGCTCAGACTATCTTCCGATCATCGTCTCCGTCAACAGACCACCAGACTTCATAAACTCTGAAAGCCGTACTTTCCTGAACCATGGGAAAGCTGATTGTCCTGGCTTCAGAGAGTTTACCAATCACCGCTTCAGAGAGCTGCCCACTCCACGGGTAGCTGAGAGGAATTTCGGGAAAATCATCGCTATTGCTGCCGCTTGCTTTATACCTGCTGCTCGAATACTCGAAGTAAGACCTAACGTCCCAGCTTGGTCCTGAAGACCCAAGGGTGCGAGAGCTTACCCTTGAAGTCAACAGATTAGTATGCGAGCACAATAGGAAAAATTCGCTAGACCACCTGAAACAATGCAGCATTGCCAACGGAACAAGTAAATTGTGGGCAACGGTTAAGTCACTCTCGAATCCTGGAAGGAAAGATGACAGGACGGCTGTTACATTTAACGACGTAACTGTAACAGACACGAAGAAGTGCGCAAGTTATTTTAACCGGCAATTCATAGAGCACCCCGAGAGTGACAGGGCGAAAAGGAGTGTGCTACGTCACATAAGGGTACTCCGAGCTGAGGAGGAACCACCCTAGAGTGAAACAGGGAGTTCCCCAAGGAGGGGTGATATCTCCGGAACTGTTCAACCTCTACCTTTCTGATATTCCACAACCACCGAACGGCATAGAGATCGTAATGTATGCGGATGATTGCACGATCATGGCGTCGGGTCCCATTATTGATGATATATGTGAGAGGCTAAACGTCTACATAGCCGATCTTGTTAATTTCTTCCATCTGAGGAATATGAAAATGGACGGCTGAAATGAAGCTCCCACTGAACAAAATGGTCGATAGAAAATTGAATCCGACCACCAACTACCCCAAGATACTGGGAGTAACGTTCGACAGCCTTTTCAAGTCGTCCGCGCAAGCCACTGCTTTATGCGGTAAGCTGAGAAGTATTAACAAGGTGCTCAAGTCACTAGCGGACAGCAATAGTCCGGTCAGTGGTAAGCTATGCGGCGCCAGTGTGGTTCGTGAATGTTAGTGATATGCAGTGGAAGAATATCCAGACCTGTCAGAATGCTGCGCTGAGAACTGCAACAGGCCTCATGAAGACCATCTTCATGAGGAGACGAAGATCATACCCGTCCATCGTCACAATTATATGTTATCGATGCAGTACTTGCTTGGGTGCTATCGCCGGGAACATCCCTGACATAGCCTTATGGGCAGGATTCCCCCGACCAGGCACGTCAGGAAAGATCTTCATGATCTAGAGAGAGAGGTCCAAAAGTACAAGCGTGAACGCCTAGATCAAGAAGCCTATCAAGCAGGTCTGAATGGTATTCACACTGACGCAGTCTCTCAGGCAGTAAAGCAATATTGCGTTAATAATTAAAAACCATAATTGGAGACCACCCCCTATCCATCGCGGCAGAGGGGAAGCAGCTGCCGAGGCAAACACGAGTAGTCTTAGCTCAACTAAGATCAGGATGTTCAATTCTTGCCCAATATTAATTGAGGCGGTATTCATATTGGGCAAGAATTGACGGCTCGATACCAAACACGATGAAGTACTTGCTTGGGTGCTATCG